AACCCTATCTTTTTCCTAACTACAAATGTACCTGTGTGTTACGTGGACATGCCTATGGCCTAGCTACTCAGGAGAGCTGAGCCTAGGAGTCATCACTTGAACCCAGGAGGCGGACGGTTGGCAGCTGCAGCCAAGATCTTAGGCGCAGTCACTGCACTAGTCTGGGCGACAGAGCTAGACTCGTCTCAAAACAAAGCAAAACAAAACAAAAACTTCCTATCATTCCAGTGTTTTGTGTGCACAGTAGAATTTTAATGTTATCAGATTATACGCATGGATAATCTTTGTGTTTTTTATTTACTATTGTAGTGTAAGCATTTTTTTTTTTTTTTTTTTTTTTTTGAGACAGAGTCTCGCTCTGTGGCCTAGGCTGGAGTGCAGTGGCCGGATCTCAGCTCACTGCAAGCTCCGTCTCCCGGCTTTACGCCATTCTCCTGCCTCAGCCTCCCGAGTAGCTAGGATTACAGGCGCCCGCCACCTCTCCCAGCTAGTTTTTTGTATTTTTTAGTAGAGACGGGGTTTCACCGTGTTAGCCAGGATGGTCTCAATCTCCTGACCTTGTGATCCGCCCGTCTCGGCCTCCCAAAGTGCTGGGATTACAGGCTGGAGCCACTGTGCGCTGTCCCTATTGTGAGCATTTTTATAACACTTAGTATTCTTTGAAAATCACATTTCATCTGGGTGTAGTGGCTCACACCTGTAATCTTAGCACTTTGAGAGGCTGAGGCGGGTGGATTGTTTGAGGGCAGGAGTTCAAGACCAGCTTGGCCAACATGGTGAAAGCCCATCTCTACTAAAAATACAAAAAAATTAGCCGGGCATGGTGGCATGCATTTGTAGTCCCAGCTACTTAGGATGTTGAGGCATGAGAATCACTTGAACCTGGGAGGCAGAGATTGCAGTGAGCCAAGATTGTGCCACTGCACTCCAGCCTGGGTAACAGAGTGAGACTCCGTCTCCAAAAAAAAAAAAAGAAAGAAAGAAAAGAAAATCACGTTTGAAAAGAATCTGTAATGTCAATTTTACCTTCTAAATGCCTTTCAAATTGATCTACTTCTCTCCCATCAGCATTGCCATCACCCTGGTTTAGATTTACGTAATTTACCTGGATTGGTTATTTCTCTTTCCCCTTTCCTCCCCATCTGTTTTCCCATGCTTTGCAGTTGACAGGTACTTCTTGGCAGTCCGATGAAACGTTTGACTCCTTCTGAGAATAACATTTTTAAATGCATAGCTAAAGGAAACCAATATAGTTACAAAATATTAATACTTTTTATAAAAACTTACGATATTATATTTGCCTCTTTGTTAATGTGTTAAATAGCAAGATTTATAGCAAGATCTAATAATCTTTCCAGAAACTTCCATGATTTTAAAGTAGTGATGCAAGGGCCAAAATTATTATTATGAGATTTTTCCAGTATTTATAATGGGAACATATTTTGAGATTTGTATTGGTTTAAAAAGTCAGAGCCTATACTCATAATTGAAGGAAATGCCAAGTTTTATTCAGAGGTTAATTAAAAAGAAAGATTGTTTTTTTCCCCTGATCTGAGTTCATAGACTGCACTGGATTCCATGAACAGACCCTTTGGTATCTGTGGACTCTAGTTTGAAAACCCCTTTGTTCTTGGGACAAACTCCAAATTTTTAATGTAGTCTTCAGGACTTTTAATAATTTAGCCTGGCTACTTTTCCAGCCTGGTTTCCCACATTCTCATTTGGCTTATAGTCTAGTCACACTTGTTTTCTTTTAAGTCTTCAGATGTACCCTGTTCCCTCCTATCTCAGGGCCTGTTTATGCTATTCACTTTGCCTGGAATGCATCTCCAGTCATCCACACACCTAGCTAATGTGTGTTCGTTTTTCAGCTCCTAGTTTAAATGTCACTTCCCCAGGGACGCTCTCTCTGATCATCCCACATTGCTAGATAGGTCCCCTTTTATTTATTTTGTTTTAATTTTTTAATTTTTTAAGACAGAGTCTTGCTGTGTGGCCTAGGCTGGAGTGCAATGACCTGATCATAGCTCACTGTAACCTCAAATTCCTGGGCCCATGGGATCCTCCCACCTCAGCCTCCTGAGTAGCTGGGACTACAGGCATGTGCCACCATGACTGGCTAGTTGTATTTAAAATTTTTTTGTAAAGATGTGTGTCTCATTATGTTTCCTAGGCTGGTCTTGAATTTGTGGCCTCAAGTGTTCCTCCCACCTTAGTCTCCCAAAGTGCTGGGTTTGCAAGCATGAGCTACTGCACCCGGCCAGGTTCCCCTTTTAGATGCTATCATAACACCCTGTGCCTTTCGTTTACAACACTTTTCCCAGTTTATAATTCTGTTTTATTTATTTATTTATTTTTATTTTTATTTTCTTTTTGAGATGGAGTCTCGCTCTTTCTGCCAGGCTGGAGTGCAGTGATGCAATCTTGGCATACTGCAACCTCTGTCTCCTGGGTTCAAGAGATTTTCCATCCTCAGCCTCCCGAGTAGCTGGGATTACATGTGCATGCCACCACGCCCAGTAATTTTTGTATTTTAATGGAGACAGGGTTTCACCATGTTAGCCAGTTTGGTCTCAAACTCCTAGCCTCAGGTGATCCGCCCACCTTGGCCTCCCAAAGTGCTGGGATTACAGGCGTGAGCCACCGCACCCACCTGTAATTCTATTTTTTGTAATCCTTTGAGTGTCTGTCTCCCTCACTTAAGTGTGTGCTCCATGAAGGTAGGGACTGTTCTATTTTGATTACTGCTGTATAACTTGGCTCTTGTTATACAGCAGGCCCTCAGTTAATATTTATTACATCAGTGAATGAATACTGATAACTTAACGTTCCTAAATTCTTTGACTCCTCTGTTACTTCCATAGGTCTGTTCTTTCTTTTTTCTCCTCTGAAACATTTTTTCCAGCCTTGCCTGGCTAACTTCTACTCCAGCCTCCAGTTTAGTTAAGTATGCTTCCCTCCATGTACCGTCTCTAAACTTCCATAACAACTGGATATATTTACATAAAATTAAGATGATTTTTTTCTTTTTAAAATTTTTCACATAGAGATGGGGTCTCACCATGTCACCCAGGCTGGTCTCAAACTCCTGGGCTCAAGCAGTCCACCCACCGCAGCCTCCCATGACCAGACCCTGTCTCTACAAAAAAAAAAAAAAAAAAAATTAGCTGGGCATGGTGGCGTATGCCTGTGGTCCCAGCTAATCAAGAGTCTGAGGCGGGAGGATTGCTTGAGCCTGGGAGGCAGAGGTTGCAGTGAGCCAAGATTGCACCACTGCACTCCAGTCTAGGCGACTGTGAGACCCTGTCTCAAAAAGAAAGAAAAAGAAAAATCCATTTGGCCAGTTTGGGTTTATTTTCCTTTCCCTCTTCTATAACTGTGTTCATTCTTCCTGAAAATGTTCTGACTACACATTGTAAGCATTTTTGTATTTAAATACCTGGTAGTTCTCTTAAGAGTATGCCTTATTAACTTTAAAAGTATCTTTAAAAAAAATTTTTTTTGCCTGTCGCGGTGGCTCATGCCTATAATCCCAGCACTTTGGGAGGCCGATGCCAGCGGATCATGAAGTCAGGAGTTCAAGACCAGTCTGACCAACATAGTGAAACTCCGTCTCTACTAAAACCCCGTCTCTACTAAAAGTACAAAAAATTAGCCGGGTGTGGTGGCAGGCACCTGTAATCCCAGCTACTCAGGAGGCTGAGGCAGGAGAATTGCTTGAATCCAGGAAGCGGAGTTGCAGCGAGCTGAGATCGCTCCACTGCATACCAGCCCAGGCAACAGTGAATGACTCCGTCTCTAAAAATATATATATATATATATATGGTTACTTAGGGTTGCTTAGTAGGTGTATATATTTATGGGGTACGTGAGATATTTTGATACAGATATACAATGTGTAATAATCACATTAGGGTAAATCAGGTATCTTTTTTTATTTTTTTCAGTCAAGGTCTTGCACTGTTGCCTGGGCTCAAGTGCAGTGGCACAATTATAGCTTACTGGAGCATCGAATTCCTGAGCTGAAGGGATCCTCCTGCCTCAGCCTCCTGAGTAACTAGGACCACAGGCACGTGCCACCATGCCCAGCTAATTTTTGTATTTTTGTGTAGAGATACGGTCGCACTATGTTTCCTATGCCACTGTTAAAATCCTGGTGTCAAGTGATCCTCCTGCCTCAGACTCCCGAAGCACTAGGATTATAGGTGTGAGCCACTGTGCCTCACAGGCCTTTACAGTATCCACTTTTAAAAATTACATTTGGAAGCTGGGCATAGTGGCACATGCCTGTATTCCCAACTACTCAGGAGGAAGAATCGCATCAGCCCAGGAGTTCAAGGGTATTGTGAGTGATAATTGTGTCTGTGAATAGCCACTGCACCCCTGCCTGGGCAACATAGCAGGACCCCCTGTTTAAAAAAAAAAAATACAGTTAGTAAATGTTGAATGCCATTTTTCCCATATGGAAGTTCTAGCTGAAACTACACTTTTCATTTAAGACTTGAGACTGACTTTCTCAGTCCACTATAAGCATTAATTAATACATTGGTTCTGCTCTGCACACTTCTGCTTCTAAAAACACACTGAACAAAACCTTCCTTTATCTATGGTTGCTGCTGATTAGTTTCTATATTTTCCAGCTTTCATCTGTAACTGTGATAGCCAGTATTCTCAGGGCTATCAGGAGGCTTGTGCATCCAAATTCCCAATCTCTCATTGTTACCATTCCTGTTTTGTATCTCAAGGTTCTGTATTGGTTGTGCACACGTCATATTCTTTGAAGCTCTCAGGCTGCCTGCTTTTTGTTTGCCATAGCTGTTCCTGTTACTTCGCATTTTCCTCCCTGGAGGCAGTTATGTTGCCTCTATTTAAGCACTCACCAGTCAGAATCTTGCTGTTCTGCTTAAATACCCAACATTTGTCGGTAAGAAATACTTTCGTATTTAATTGTGTATCTCCAGGAATTTTGCCCATTTCTCTTTGCCTTACTTTCAATCATGATAGAAGCACCTTTTTCTTTTCAGTAATATTATTGTTAAAAGCCTTAATTATTTTGTCTTCTCTGCCTCAAACTAAGTAATTCTGACTTCCTTAATCTTTTATCACAGGCTCTGTTCTCCAAACTTTCAATCTTTTCTGTTGTTCCATATTCCATTGTTTTCTCCTTCTACTCATTCAGAGGCAAATTATGGTGGTTTTTTAAGTTTTGGTTTATAGACTGTGTCCTTATGTGAGAAATTTACTTTAGGTTTATATTGTCAACCCCATAGCACAAACCAGGTACTTAATTTAGGCATTAGTCAGTGATATGGTTTGTTTATTTGTCCCTATGCAAATCTTATATTGAATTGTAATCCCCAGTATTGGGGGTGGGGCTTGGTGGAAGGTGATTGGATCATGGGAGTGGAGCCCTCATGGCTTGGTGCTATCCTCACTATAGTGAATTCTTATGAGATCTTGTTGTTTAAAAGTGTGTGGCACCTTCCCCCCTCTCTCTTGCTCCTGCTTTTGCCATGTGACCTGCTACCTCCCCTTTGCCTTCTGCCATGATTATAAGCTTCCTGAGGCCTCATCAGAAGCCAGGTAGGTACCTGGCACCATGCTTTCTTTATAAAGTACCCAGTCGCGGCCAGGCGCAGTGGCTTATGCCTGTAATCGCAGCACTTTGGGAGGCCAAGGCGGGCAGATCACAAGGTCAGGAATTTGAGACCAGCCTGGCCAATATGGTGAAACTGCATCTCTACAAAAAATACAAAAATTAGTCAGGCATGGTGGCACATGCCTGTAGTTCCAGCTACTTGGGAGGTTGAGGCAGAAGAATCTCTTGAACCTGGCTAATTTTTGTATTTTTAGTAGAGATGTGGTTTCACCATGTTGGCCAAGCTGGTCTTGAACTCCTGACCTCGTGATTCGCCTGCCTCGGCCTCCCAAAGTGCTGGGATTACAGGCATATCTTTTTATTTTTTTTGAGACAGAGTCTCACTCTGTCACCCAGACTGGAGTGCAGTGGCACGATCTCAGCTCACTGCAACTTCTACCTCCCAAGTTCAAGTGATTCTTCTGCGTCAGCCTCCTTAGTAGCTGGGATTACAGGCACCCGCTACAACGCCCAGCTAACTTTCGTATTTTTAGTAGAGACAGGGTTTCACCATGTTGGTCAGGCTGGTCTTGAACTCTTGACCTCAGGTGGTCCACCTGCCTCGGCCTCCCAAAGTGGTGGATTGCAGATGTGAGCCACTGCGCCCAGCCTATTTATTTATTTTTTGAGACAGTGTCACTCTGTCATCCAGGCTGGAGTGCAGTGACGCAGTTTTGGCTCCTTGCAACCTCCACCTCGTGGGTTCAAGAAGTTCTTGTGCCTCAGCCTCCCAAGTAGCTGGAACTACAGGTGTGTGCCATGACGCCTGGCTAATTTTTATATTTTTACTAGAGACGAAATTTCACCATGTTGGCCAGGCTGGTCTTGAACTCCTGACCTCAGGTGATCCACCCGCCTCGGCCCCCCAAAATGCTGGGATTACAGGCGTGAGCCACTGCATCTGGCCTGTTTTTAATTTTTAGAGACAGAGTCTCGCTTTGTCACCCTACTGGAGTGCAGTGGCACAGTCATAGCTTAATATACCTTAGTACACCTGGGCTCAAGTGATCCTCCAGCCTCAGCCTCCCAGGTAGCTAGGATTACAGGTGTGTGCCACCATGGCCAGCTAATTTTTAAAATTTATTTTTGGTAGAGAGAGGGTCTTGTTTTGTTGCCCACCCTGGCCTTGAACTCCTGGCTTCAAGCCATCATCTGTCCTTGGCCTCCCAAAGCACTAGGATTACTAGCATGGGCTACCAAGCCCAACTGGTATCTGAGATTAATTATAATTTATTTCCTTTTTTCTGACTTTAAGATTTTTAGTTTCTTTTCCTGCTTTATTGCCAAACATTCCATTATAAATTTAATGTCTTTAAGATTCATGGTGCTTTCTCTCTCTCTTTCTGTCTCTCTTTTTTCTTATTCTTTTTTTCTCTTTTTTCTTGATTAGTGTTTCCAGAGGTCTTTATCAGTGTGGGTCCAATGGGAGAGAGAAGGCATATAACTATTTGAACAAAGAAAGTTTTATATAAAGAATTATAGGCTGAGCATAGTGGCTCACATCTGTAATACCAGCACTGTGGGAGGCTAAGGTGGGAGGATTGCCTGAACCCAGGAGTTCAAGACCCACCTGGGCAACATAGTGAGACCCCACCTCTACAAAAATAAAAAATGAAGAGTTATAATAGGGGCTACTCTAAGGAGAACTCTAAAGAATATAGGAATACACCTGGGCACAGCGACTTATGCTTATAATCCCAGCACTTGGAGAGGCTGGGGTGGGAGGATAGGTTGAGTTCAGGAGTTTAAGACCATCCTGGGCAAAATGGCAAGACCCTGTCTCTACAAACAAAAATTTAAAAAATATATATTAGCTGGTGTGGTAGTGCATGCCTATAGTTCCAGCTACTCAGGAGGCAAGGCAGGAGGATGGGAGGATCCCTTGAGCCCAGGAGCTACAGGATGTAGTGTGCAGTGATCACTCCAGCCTGGACTGGAGTGTAGTGGCATGATCACTGCGCACTGCATCCTGTAGCTCCTGGGCTCCTTTGTCTCTTAAAAAAAAAAAAAGGAATAGCAGATATAAGGAACAGTCACAAACCCCAGGGCCAAGATAGAGGGCACTAAGAAGACCCCTCTTCCTCAGGACTCAGATTCAGGCTTGTTGGAGGAGCCACAACTGCTGTGAATGGCAGAGGGATTGCTATGGTGCCATATTAGCAAAACTTGCTGGAAATCTGCCCTTTGGACCTGGTTGGACATTTATCCTCTAGTATGCTGTCCTTTAGGGTGGTGGGGAAAGCTGTTCATAGAGAGGTGTTTCACCTGAGGCACAACTTTTTTGGGGGAGTTGGCAGGGCAAGCTGCTGGCCACTCCATGCTGCAGGAGGTGCTGCAGGGTTGGAGGACATCTCTTACAAAAGCATCCAAGGGGAGGGCTGATGGGGGAAGCTGCTGACTGCTTTCCAGTGCACTGCAAGACCCTGACTCTGGAAAGCTTCAGACATCACAGTGGCCTGCTCTTGTGACAAGCAGGGGAACCAAGAAGCAAAACTCTTCTTACAAATGTCTCTCTAGCACCTTATGCTGAGAAAGCTTAACATCATGCCGGGTGGCAAAGGAAAAATATGTAAAGGACTCAAGTCAATTTTTATATTATTTTATTTTATTTTATTATTTATTTTTAAATTAGAGATGGTGGTCTCACTATGTTGCCAAGTCTGGTCTCAAACTCCTGGCCTCAAGTGATCCTCCCGCCTCAGCCCCTCAAAGTGCTGGGATTACAGACGTACACCACCGTGCCAGACCTGCTAGTCTATTTTAACAGCGAGGCAAAAAGAATGAATTTATAGGTCAGGAGCAATACATTTGTAACTGATACAATGTCTTTCAATTTTATTAAAATTTTTTACATGAACCAACTTTTTTCTCTATATATTGTTTGTTTTCTAATTTTGTTTACGCTCTTATGTTTATTTCCTTCCTTCTACTTTCATTGGTTTTAATTTGCTATTCTTTTTCTAGTTTCTTGAGATGGTTGCTTAGATCATTAATAAACAGCCGTTTCCCTCCCAATATATGAATTTAAGTCTATACATTTCCCTCTATATTTGTGTCATATACAAGTTTTTTTTGTTTTGTTTTGTTTTTTGTTTTTTTTTAGACGGAGTCTTGCTCTGTCGTCCAGGCTGGAGTGCAGTGGTATAGTTTCAGCTTACTGCAAGCTCTGCCTCCTGGGTTCACGCCGTTCTCCTGCCTCAACCTCCTGAGTAGCTGGGACTACAGGCGCCCGCCACGCCCAGCTGATTTTTTGTATTTTTAGTAGAGGTGGGGTTTCACTGTGTTAGCCAGGATGGTCTTGATCTCCTGACCTTGTGATCTGCCCGCCTCAGCCTCCCAAAGTGCTGGGATTACAGGCGTGAGCCACTGCGCCCGGCCTCTTTCGTGCCTTCTTTAGAAATAATAAAATATTTTTGAGTATTCTGTTTTCTGTGTTAGCTTATTAGTTATGTATTTTAACTATTTTAGTATTTGTTTAGAGTAGGGCTTTTCACTGTTGGCAGTATTCAAACTTAGGCCTGTGATTATTTATTGTAGAGGGCTATCCTGTGCATGGTGGGATATTTAGTAGCATCTGTGGCTTTTACACCTAGATGCCAGTAGCACCTCACCCCAGTTGTGACAATCAAAAAATGTCTCCAGACATTTCTGAATGTCCTTTGGAGACAAAATCACCCTGGTTGAGAACCGCTGCCCTAGAGGTTATAGTAGGCATTCTTGGCTTATTATAGTCTAATGTTAATGATAACTTTTACCAATTACTCAACAATGCCAGGGCCTTACTAACTCCATATTCTCTCTCACACCTTTATACTTTGATTTTGTACACTAATTATTCATTTTGTTATGTACCCACATTCCATTATTCTTCATTTTCTATGTCTTTCTTTCAGAGCTCTTTACTTTCTGTGTGTATCTGTGTCTTAAATTTTCCTTCCATCTTTATTTTATATAAAGATAAGAGATTTTGATTCTATGATAAATCCAGGATGATCTCATTAGAGATCCTTAATTACATCTACAAAATTTATTTATTTATTTTTTCTTGAGATGGAGTCTTGCTCTTTCACCCAGGCTGGAGTGCAGTGGCGTGATCTTGGCTCATTGCAGCCCCAGTCTCCCAGATCCAAGCTATTCTCCTGCTTCAGCCACCTGAGTAGCTGGGATTACAGGTGTGCATCACCACACCTGGCTAATTTTTGTATTTTTAGTAGAGATAGGGTTTCACCATGTTGGCCAGGCTGGTCTCAAACTCCTGACCTCAGGTGATCCACCCACCTTTGCCTCCCAAAGTGCTAGGATTACAGGTATGAATCACTGTGCCTGGCCTAAAGCTTGTTTATAATCTTTTCACTAGACTCTGTTTTTATTCCATAGGTATTTAATAAATATTTGGTGAAGGAAGGAATGACAAAGAGACTCTGAGAGGTTTCTATCACTGAAGTATGTTTAGGACTTTTATATATGTTCATATATTTATTGATTACTATGTCACAGGCATTCTGTGGCAGACTTTTCATTATTTTTAATTAGGTACCAAGAGTATGGTCTTTTAATTTCCATTGGGTTTAAGGTTTTTCTGTCTTTGAGTTTTTAATTTATATTTTCTGTTTTTATTGTTGTGATAGTGGTTCTGTTTTGTTTTACATATCAGCCCTTTGCCAGAAGCTGAACCCGAACCACTGAGGATGCAATTTTAGATGGAGCTAGTGTTAGTCTGACAGATTTGTACCTGAATGTTCACTTCGGTTACAGAGTTTAACTGTGTTTGCTATTAAATGAATCTACTTAGGAACATTTTCTGAGATTTAGTACGCAGAAATAGTAATCATTGTGCTTTTCTGTTCTCTTTCAGCTTTCAGAAGAATTATTAGATAAATGGCTCTCCTACCCAGAGACCCAGCATGTGCCCCTCAGCCAGCATATGCTTGGTTTTGCTATGAAGTCTGTTACACAGATGGTAATGGGTAGTACATTTGAAAATGATCAGGAAGTCATTCGCTTCCAGAAGAATCATGGCACAGTAAGTCTAGGGCTAAATTTAAAATTATGCTTTCAGGCTGGGCGCCGTGGCTCACACCTGTAGTCCCAGCACCTTGGGAGGCTGAAGTCAGGAGTTCAAGACCAGCCTGCCCAACATGGTGAAAACCTGTCCCTACTAAAAATACAAAAATCAGCTGGGTGTGGTGGTAAGACTCTGTCTCAAATAAAATAAATAAATAAATAAAATTATTATTTCATCATTACCCAGGCATGGTGGCATGTGCCTGTTGTCCCAGCTACTGAGGGTGAGGCAGTAGGGATTACTTGAACCCAGGAGTTCAAGGCTAAAGAGAACTATGATTGCAGCAGTGCACTCCAGCTTGGGAGACAAGAGTGAGACCTTGTCTCTAAAAAATGATAATAATAAATTAAGCAATTATTTCATCATACTGGGTAGTTTAATAATGCAGATTGTTGCCTATCAAAAACAAGGCTTGGCTGGGTACAGTGGCTCACACCTGTAATCCCAGCACTTTGGGAGGCCGAGGCAGGCAGATCACTTGAGGTCAAGAGTTTGAGACCAGCCTGGCCAACGTGGCAAAACCCCATCTCTACTGAAAATTTTAAAAAAACTAGCCAGGCATGGTGGCTTGCACCTGTAATTCAAGCTACTTGGGAGGCTGAGGCACAAGAATTGCCTGAACCCGGGTGGCGGAGATTATAGTGAGCCAAGACCACGCCACTGCACTTCAGCCCTGGGTGATGGAGTGAGACTCTTGTCTCAAAAAAAAAAAAAGGAAAGATCTCGGCCAGGCATGGTGGCTCATGCCTGTAATCCCAGCACTTTGGGAGGCCGAGGCAGGTGAATCACAAGGTCAGCAGTTCAAGACCAGCCTGGCCAAGATGGTGAAACCCCATCTCTACTAAAAAATACAAAAATTTGCTGGGCGTGGTGGCAGGAGCCTGTAATCCCAGCTACTCGGGAGGCTGAGGCAGAGAACCACCTGAACCCGGGAAGTGGAGGTTGTAGTGAGCTGAGATTGCACCACTGTACTCCAACCTGGGCGACAAAGCAAGAGTCCATCTCAAAAAAGGAAAAAAAAAAAAAAGTGATCTCACCACTCTTTCCAGAATTTTCTTCCAGTTGCTGGTATCTATCCTGCATATTTTTATGCTGGTGTTTTTTTTCTTTCCTTTCTTTTCTTATAACCTCAAAATAGAAATAATTTCAAACTTCCAGAAAAGTTACAGTTAATACAAGGAACTCCCTCCCTCCCATATATCCTTTACCCAGGTTCAGCAGTTGTTTACATTTTGCCGCACATGCTTTTGTCATTCATCTTCTATCTATATCTATCTATCCATCTGTCTATCCATTCCTCCCACTTTCCTGAAACCATTTGAGAGTAAATTGAACATTTTGCCTGTTTTCCTCTAAATATTGCAGTTGATGTTTACTACGAGCAAGGATATTCTCTTATGTAGTGACAACATAGTTATCAAGTTTCTTTGGTTGTATCAATAATAATCTTGTAGATTCTCAGCCTCCTCCCCTCCAATTCTAGGACCCAATTCATGATCACTCAGTACTTTTACATATCAGACCTCTTTAATCTAGAACAGTTCCTCAGCTTTTCTTCATTTCTAGACCTTTACATTTTTGGATAGTACAGGACAGTTATTTTGTAGACTATCCCTCAATTTGAGTTTGTCTGATATTTCATGAGTAGATTCAAAATATGTATTTTTGGCAAGAATTTGATGTTTTCTTAATATTAATAAAAGCTGTCAAAGGAAACTTTTCAGACTATAAACAGGACTTATTCTTCCTCAAATGATTTTTTTTCTTTTTTGTTTTCATATGTCCACAGCCTTGCCATCAGAGTGGGCTTTCAAAGATTTTTTTTATTTGTGTAAATTTATGAGTTTTATATATATAATTTTATTACATGCATAGATTGTGTAGTGTTAAAATCAGGGCTTTTAGTGTATCCATCACCCAAATAATGCACATTGTACCCATTAAGTGATTTCTTATCCTCCTGCCCACCCCGAAATGATCTTTTAGTGTCTGAAATACCAAGGGATTGCCATTGTCCACTCATGCCACCAGGAATAATAACCAATTTGTGAATTCAGAGCCAATGACGACTGCATCATGACTGCTACTTGGATGAAAACAATTGGGAGATGTCATCAGTTGTAAGATGCATACTAATTTCACAGGTGTTAAAATGTGAAAAAACATACATCCTTCCTTCAGTTGTATATTGTATGTCCTAACTGTCCCCTGCAAATATTGTCCCAAGTATTTTTCCACCAATATTAATGTGCTCTTATTCTGTACTTTTGACAACATTTAGAATTGTTGGTCCTTAAATATTTGCCTTTCTAGGCCAGGTGTGGTGGCTTGTGCCTGTAGTCCCAGCACTTTGGGAAGCCAAAGCAAGAGGATTACTTGAGCCTAGAAGTTCAAGACCAGCCTGGGCAGCACAGTGAGACCCCTGTCTCCAAATTTTTTTTTTTTAATTAGCGGAGTGTGGTGGCATGCGCACCTGTAGTCCCAGCTACTCAGGAGACTGAGGTGGGAAGATCACTTGAGCCCAGGAGGATCACACCACTGCACTGCAGCCTGGATGATAGAGTGAGACCCTGTCTCAAAAAGCAAAATTTTTGCCTATCCAATAAGCCAAAAATGACATTTTATGATTGAAATATATAGTTCTTTTTTTTTTTTTTTTTTTTTTTGAGACGGAGTGTTGCTCTTATTGTCCAGGCTGGAATGCAATGGTGCAATCTTGGCTCACTGCAACTTCCACCTCCTGGGTTAAAGCGATTCTCCTGCTTCAGCCTCCCCAGTAGCTGGGATTACTGGTGCCCACCACGATGCCCGGCTAATTTTTGTACCTTTAGTAGAGATGGCGTTTCACCATGTTGGCCAGCTGGTCTCGAACTCCTGACCTTAAGTGATCCACCTGCCTCGGCCTTCCAGAGTGCTGGGATTATAGGCGTGAGCCACTGCGCCCAGCCTGAAATGTATAATTCTTTTTTTTTTTTTTTTAAGATGAAGTCTTGCTCTTGTCACTCAGACTGGAGTGCAATGGCACAATCTCGGCTCACTGCAACCTCCAGCTCCTGGGTTCAAGTGATTCTCCTGCCTCAGCCTCCCGAGTAGCTGGGATTACAGGTGCCTGTCACCACGCCCGGGTAATTTTTATATTTTTTAGTAGAGAACGGGGTTTCACCATCTTGGCCAGGCTGGTCTCGAACTCCTGACCTCAGGTGATCTGCCTGCCTCAGCCTCCCAAAGTGCTGGGATTACAGGCGTGAGCCTCCACGCCTGGCCTGTGTAATTATTTTATTACTCGTGAGGTTAAACATCTTTTTTTTTTTTTTGAGACAGAGTCTCGCTGTGTGCCCCAGACTAGAGTGCAATCTCGGCTCACTGCAAGCTCCACCTCCCAAGTTCACACCATTCTCCTGCCTCAGCCTCCCGAGTAGCTGGAACTACAGATGCCCGCCACCACACCTGGCTAATTTTTTTTGTATTTTTAGCAGAGACGGAGTTTAACCATGTTAGCCAGGATGGTCTCGATCTCCTGACCTCGTGATCCACCCGCCTTGGCCTCCCAAAGTGCTGGGATTACAGCTGTGAGCCACCGCGCCTGGCCAAGGTTAAACATCTTTTTGCCTGGGTGCAGTGGTTCACCCCTATAACCCTCGCACTTTGGGAAACCAGAGCAGGAGGATTACTTGAGCCCAGGAGTTTGAGACCAGCCTGGGCAACATGACAAAACCCCATCTTTGCCAAAAAAAAACCACACACACGAAAATTTGCTGGGTGTGGTAGTACATTCTTGTAGTCCCAACTACTTGTGAGACTGAGGCCAGAGGATTGCTTGAGCCCAGGAGGTGGAGGTTGCAGTGAGCCATGATTGTGCCTAGGCACTCCAGCCTTGGAGATAGAGCCAGATCCTGTCTTAAAAACAAAAAACCCAAAATCATATTTTTATACTTTTGTTAAACTCTTGGGTTCCTTTTGTGGGATTTTTTTAAATGTCCTCCACCTATATTTCTTCATTATTTTATTTACTTTTTTGTGACACAGTATCACCATGTTGCCCAGACTGGTCTCAAACTTTTGGGCTCAAGGGATCCTCTGACCTCAGCCTCCCAAATAGCTGGGATTTTAGGCCCACCTGGCTCTTTTGCCTAGATTTCTATTGATGTGTTTCATTTTCTTACTAATCTAGAACAGCTATTTATTTTTAATCTCAGTTTTCATTTCCTTTTACATTTATTTATAGTAAATAAATAAAAGTTTTGTGATACTTTTTCAGTATCACAAATGCTAATGTTTTTATGTAGCTAAATCAATTTAACTCTTTCATTGTGAATTTGTGCCTTGTGTTCTGTCATGCTTAGAAACTGCTTTTGAGCTTTAAGCATCTTATATAAATATTTACGTTTTTATTCTTTTTTTTTTTAGGCTGCAGTGCCGCAGTCTCGGCTCACTGCAGTGTCTACCTCCCAGACTCAAGCTATCCTTCCACCTCACCCTCCTGGGTAGCTGGGACCACAGATGCTCACCATCACGCCTGGCTAATTTTTTATATTTTTCATAGAGACAGGGTTTCACCATGTTCTCGAACTCCTTAGCCCAAGCAGTCTGCCTGCCTTGGCCTCCAAAGTGCTGGGATTATGGGTGTGAGCCACTCCACTTGGCCTACTATTCATTTTTACAGTAGTTTTAAGTTTGATTTTTTTACATTTAAGTAATCTGAAATGTTTTCATTTAAGGTAAGAATTGAGGGCTTTTTAAAATCTATTATTTTTCAAATAATAGTATTTAGCCATTGATGAATAAGTGTTGTGTTCTTTCCCTAATTTCTTTTAGAACTTTTGAATTAAAATCAAGTTAAAGTTTTTTCAGGGGCTAATGACCCAATTGTGAATATTTGGAAGCCTATTCTACTGCTTATCATATCCAAATCTCAGACTAAATTTTAACCTTTTTCTTTACCTCAGCCAGTGTTTATCAATATTACAGGTGAAACAGAAATTTGTAATTACCTGTGAATTTTATTTTTACACTTATGCCAGTATAATACAAAAATGAGGGCCAGGCATAGTGGCTCACACATGTAATCCCAGCACTTTGGGAGGCTGAGGCGGGCGGTCACCTGAGGTCAGGAGTTCAATACCAGTCTGGAAACCCCATCTCTACTAAAAAATACAAAAATTAGCTGGATATGGTGGCAGGCACCTGTAATCCCAGCTACTCAGGAGGCTGAGGCTGGGAGAATTGCTTGAACCAGGGAGGTGGAAGTTGCAGTGAGCCGAGATCACGCCACTGCACTCCAGCCTAGGCAACACAGTGAGACTCTGTCTCGTGGGGGAAAAAAAAATGAGGATTGACTCAACTGCTGTGTCCTTTTTCTTCTCCCTACTCGTTTTAGAGGAAAGGAATTTTTCACTTTCCACTTCTTATTAGTTTGAAAGTGTCTTGACTGAAGTCATTAGAATATATTTGTACCCTCTCCTCTGAGACTGTGGAGTAAAGGATTGTGCAGCCAGTTGAGAAGGAGAGCTTAATTATCAGATTTGTTGGTGAGAAGAGTTCCTCCTGGGTAGGTGGCTCACACCTGTAATCCCAACACTTTGGGATACTGAGACGAGAAGATCACTTGAGCTCAGGAGTTCAAGACTAGCCTGGGAAACATGGTGAAACCCGTCTCTACAAAAAATAGAAAAATTAGCTGGCATTGGTGGCACGCACCTGTAGTCCCAGCTACTTGGGAGGCTGAGGTGGGAGGATGGCTTGAGCCTCGGAAGTGGAGATTGCAGTGAGCTATGATCGTGCCATTGCAATCCAGCACTCTAGCCTGGGTGACAGAGCCAGAACACTGACTCAAAAAAAAAAAAAAAAAAAAAAAAAGAGTTCCTAAGTTATTAGGTTACATTGCTCTATATTATAATTTTTACAATTCTACCTATTGGATAATAGATATGTATACTTACCTATTTTCAGGTTTGGTCTGAGATTGGAAAAGGCTTTCTAGATGGGTCACTTGATAAAAATACAACTCGGAAAAAACAATACGAAGATGGTAAGTTTGGTCACTCTTAATTTTTAGTGAGGACAAAAAATAAAGGTGCCCCAGTTTTAATAAAGTTATTTCTGAATAGTGAGATTAAAGGTCATTTATATTTTCTTTCTTTCCTTTTTTTTTTTTTTTTTGAGTCAGTGTCTCGCTCTGTTGCCAGGCTGGAGTGCAGTGGTGCTATCTTAGCTCACAGCAACCTCCGACTCCCAGGTTCAAGTGATTCTCCTGCCTCAGCCTCCTGAGTAGCTGGGACTACAGGTGCGTGCCACCACGCCCAGCTAATTTTTGTATTTTTATTAGAGACAGGGTTTCACCCTGTTGGCCAGGATGGTCTCAATCTCTTGACCTCGTGATCTGCCTGCCATGGCCTCCCAAAGTACTGGGATTACAGGCATGAGCCACTGTGCCCGGCCTATATTTTCTTTCTTTATGCTTTTTTCCTACATTTTCTACAATGAAAGTTTTCTTTAACAGAAGCGAGGAAAAATAAGTTAGTAAAAGAAACTCTAGCACTGACTGCAGAATGAGAGTGCTGTAGAACTGGTATACTCTACGGGATTAATGGAAAGTATAAGGCTACAATCTTAAGAAAGCAGTTTAATAATGCATACTAAGAACCATAAATAATGGATGAAATTATATGAAAGAAGAGAATATTCATGAAGGTATTTTTGCAGTACTGTTTCTGCAAGTAGAAAACCAGGAACAAACTAAAGGTTCAACATTATAGGAATTAGTAGGGAAATGTCAACATGATTAAATATTACAGATACTTATTAAAAACAGCGGCCATGGTAGCACATGCCTGTGGTCCCAGCTACTTGGGAGGCTGAGATTTGAGGATCACTTCAGCTCAGGATTTTGAGACCAGCCTGGGCAATGTAGTGAGAGACCCCCATCTCAAAAAATTTTTAAAAATTAGCAACATAGGCCCCGTGCAGTAGCTCACACCTGCAGTCCCAGCACTTTGGGAGGCTGAGGCAGGCAGATCACTTGAGGCCAGGAGTTCGAGACCAATCTGGCCACATAGTGAAACCCTGCCTCTACTAAAAAAATATTAGCCGGGTGAAGCAGCACACACCTGTAATCCCAGCTACTCAAGAGGCTGAGGAATGAGAACCACTTGAACCCTGGAGGCAGAAGTTGCAGTGAGCTAGATCATGCCACTGTACTCCCAACTTTGGTGAGAGAGTGAGACTCTATCTCAAAAAAAAAAAAAAGTTTAGCAACCTAAAAAATTCTTGCTATTATAACATTGAATAAAAATATTTTCAGTGTTGTTTGGCATTGATTTCAATTTCAATTTTATACAATTTACACAGAAAAATAGCAATTTTAATGTAATATAGTGCCCCCAAATTAATTATTTTCCCTTTTTTATTTTTTTTGTTCTGTATTCTCTCAGTGGTTGAATAATTATAAAGCTTTAATACTTTTTTTTTTTTTTTTTGAGACAGAGTCTTGCTCTGTCACCTGGGCTGGAGTGCAGTGGCCGGATCTCAGCTCACTGCAAGCTCCGCCTCCCAGGTTCACGCCATTCTCCTGCCTCAGCCTCCCAAGTAGCTGGGACTACAGGCGCCGCCACCACGCCCGGCTAGTTTTTGGTATTTTTTTAGTAGAGATGGGGTTTCATCGTGTTTGCCAGGATGGTCTCGATCTCCTGACCTCGTGATCCGCCCGTCTCGGCCTCCCAAAGTGCTGGGATTACAGGCTTGAGCCACCACGCCCGGCCTACTTTTTTTTTTTAATTAATGTTGGGTTTTTTTGTTTTTTTTTGTTTTTTTTTTTTGAGACAGAGTCTCACTCTGTCACCCAATCTGGAGTGCAGTGGTGCGAGACACAGGAGACAAAAATCCCTGTCCTCGTTAGCTTACTGTTTTGGTGATTTTCTTGGTCCAACAGAAGTAAAAAAGAAAAAAAACACCAGTTTAATTGACACATTTCCTGCTATCTAGTTTTTATGACCATTATGATTCTCTTGATCAATGCATTTGGATTAATTCCCTTTGATAAAAAATGTATTTCAGAAATATTGGTTAAATTAACATGAAATGAAAATAATGTATATTCTTTGATTCTAAATAAAAGTAAACTGTCTGGCATGATGTGTTCCTTGGGCTACAACATGGGCATAGATCAAATCTGAGCTTTTATTGGAAATGATTGTTCTAGTATTTATAAAAATGGGATCCCATGACTGGATCAGAGCTTCCTTTGTTTAATTCCCAACCTGCTTTGCACATTAGAATCAGTTGGAGAACTTAAAGCACAAAACCTTATCCTAGACCAGTTTATTCAGAATCTGAGATTGGGGTGCCGTGGGCATCAGGTGTTTTTGAAAAGGCTCTCCAGATTATTCTAATGTACTTGTAGGGTCGAGAATGTACAACAGTGGTTCCCAAACTTTGCTACACATTAAATCTTTTTAAAAATATCGAAGCATGACTTCTACCTGTAAACATTCAGATTTAATTGATATGAGGTGTGACTTGTGCTTTACTGTTTGAAAAAACTTCTCAGGTGATTCTAATGTGTAGCAAAGTCTGGGAACAACTTCTTTATAGTGTTAATAATTTCTTATTTTAATTCTTTTTTTTTTTTTTTGAGACTGAGTCTCGCTCTATCGCCCAGGCTGGGTGAGATCAACCTCCATCTCCCAGGTTCAAGCAATTCTCAGGCCTCAACCTCCCAAGTAGCTGGGATTACAGGCGCCTGCCACCATGCTCAGATAATTTTTGTATTTTTAAGAGAGACAGGGTTTCACCATGTTTTTCAGGCTGGTCTTGAACTCCTGACCTCAAGTGATCCTCCTACCTCGGCTTCCTAAAGCGTTGGGATTACCGGCGTGAGCCACTGTGCCTGGGAATAATTTATCATTTTAATCACTAATGTGTATTATATTGATTCAATTCTATACATATTTAATGTAGATTTATGATATCCTGGCATGTTTTAGGTGCTGAGGAACCTAAACAAAATTTCTTGCCCTTGTGGCACCACATTCTAGTGGGAAGAGACAGACAGTAATCTAAATAAGTAAACTGAATAGTACATTAAAAGGTGAAAAATGCTGTAGAGGAAAATAAAACCAGAAGAGGATAGGGAGTGCGGGGGGTTGGGAGATTGCAATTTTGAGTAATTATTAGGAAAGGCCTCAAGATGAGGTGGCTTTTGGGGTAACACTTGCAAGAGATGAAACCAGTCATGCAGAACATGTGGATATCCAGATGTTCAAAGGAAGAATATTCCATGTAGAGGAAAAGTAATTACAGAGTCCTTGAAGTAGGACTCTTCCTGCTATATTTGAAGTACAACAGGAAGGCCAGTATGGCTGGAGTGAAGTGAGTGAGAAGAGGAGCAGAAGATGAAGTCAGAAAGACTGGAGACAGGAATGGGTTTTGTATGGCTTACAGACCATTGTGTGACTAGGTTGTTACTATGAGGTAGGAAGACACTGACAGGTTTTGAGCAGAGTTACAATCTGAGTTATGTTATAAAAGGATCACTTTGACTGGTATGATAGACTGTATGGGCCCAGAGCAAAAGCAGGGAAACTAGTTAGAGGGCTACAGCAATAAACCAGGCTTGAGAGATAATGTGGCTTGGACCAAGTGGCAGGCAACAGAAAATAGAGAACAAGGAAAAAAAAAGGAGTAAGAAAATAATTTGGTACTTTGAAGGTAGACCTACCAACATTGGCTGACAGATTAAAATTAGGGTATAAGGGAGAGAGAGACACCAAGGTTTTTGGCCTAATTGCAAAAGGAGGTTGTCAGGAAATAAGATGGGGAAGACTGTGGGAAGATCCAGGATTTGGGGGAAAGCTCAAGAGTTCAGTGTTTGGTATGCTTCAGACATCCGAGTGCAGAGGTTGAGTTTGTTATTAGAATTCGAAATATGAATCTGGAGCTGAAGAGAAAGAAGTCCTGACTAGAAATACAGATTTGGAAGTGTGTGGTACATATATTGCATCGAAAACCTTGAGATTAGAGATCACCAGGTAGTGAATATAGATAGAAAAAGGAAAGAGGTCCCAAAACTGAGCTCTGTCCTTGAACATTTCATTGCTGAGAAGTTCAAGAGATTAAAAAGGAATCAAAAAAGGAGACAGAATGAGGAGGCCGTAAAGTGGGAGGAAGTGTGGAGTCTAGGGGATATAGAGTCCTGGGAACCACATGAAAAAATGTTTCTTGGCCGGGCGCGGTGGCTCATGCCTGTAATCCCAGCACTTTGGGAGGCCAAGGTGGGCAGATCACGAGGTCAGGAGATGGAGACCACCCTGGCTAACACAGTGAAACCCCGTCTCTACTAAAACCCCGTCTCTACTAAAAATACAAAAAATTAGCCGGGCGTGATGGCACACGCCTGTAGTCCCAGTTACTCAGGAGGCTGAGGCAGGAGAATCGTTTGAATCTGGGAGGCAGAGGTTGCAGTAAGCTGAGATTGCGCCCGTGCACTCCAGCAAACACTGTCTCAAAAAAAAAAAAAAATGAAAAAGTGTTTCTTGGAGAGTACGTTATCAACATCATCAGTGATATGATAGGTCAAGTAAGGTGAAGACTGAAACGTATTTGTGTATAATTTTATGGGCCATTGGATATCAGTTATTGATATCTTTTAGGTGTTTTATTTTATATATTTATTTATTTAGAGATAAATAAAATATTTATTTATTTATTCTCTTGCCCAGGCTGGAGTGAAGTGGCACGATCTTGGCTCACTGCGACCTCTGCTGCCCAGGTTCAAGCAATTCTCCTGCCTCAGCCTCCCAAGTAGCTGAGATTACAGGCGCCTGCCACTGAGCCCAGCTAATTTTTGTATTTTTAGTAGAGATGGGGTTTTGCCATCTTGGCCAGGCTGGTCTTGAACTCCTGACCTTGTGGTTCACGTGCCTCGGCCTCCCAAAGTGCTGGGATTATAGGCATGAGCCACAGTGCCCAGCCTCTTTTAGGTTTTTAGAAATTTACTTTTCTGATTATCTTTCATCTGCTTCTAGCCATAAATAAGTGATTCCTGATTTGGGAGAAGGAATGGAGTTAAGACAGAATTTAGAAGGAAGGTGGATGATATCAGGGAAGAAAGGCTTATGTGTTTGGAGGCCTCTAAAGTGCTGGTATTAGGCCGGGTGCGGTGGCTCATGCCTATAATCTCAGCACTTTCAGGCTGAGGCAGATAGATTGCTTGAGCCCAGGAGTTTGAGACTGGCCTGGCCAACATGGTGAAACCCCGTCTCTGACAAAAATACAAAAATTAGCTGGGCGTGGTAACATGCCTGTAGTCCCAGCTACTTAGGAGGCTGAGATGGGAGAATCACCTGAGCCTGGGAAGTCAAGGCTGCAGTAAGCCCACATTACACCACTACACTGCAGCTTGGGCAACAGAGCAAGACTCTGTCTCAAAAATAAAAGAAAAAGTCAAGTGCTGGCCTTGCTCTACTTCTTGACCTGGGTGGTTGGTGGTGATTTATAATTATTCCTTAAACTGTACTTACATGCTTTGTGTACGTTTTTGTATGTATGTTAAATTTGGAAAAAAGAAGGAGGAAAATAGATGAGTTTAAACATAAATTAGCTTTCTTTGTTGTTGGTTTCTAACTTTGAAGTTTTTCTTCTCATGTAGTAACATTGCGCAGAATTATTTTTTTAAAGTTCAGTCTCCACTAATGCTTGTATTCTAAAATTATTTTGTTTTTTTCTCTAAGCCCTCGTGCAACTGGAGTCTGTTTTAAGGAACATCATAAAAGAACGAAAAGGAAGGAACTTCAGTCAACATATTTTCATTGACTCCTTAGTACAAGGAAACCTTAATGACCAACAGGTGATATAATTGTTAAATGTTTTTCAGGTTAAAAAAAAAAAAAAAAAAGCCAGAGCCAGGCACAATGTCTCATGATTGTAGTCCCAGCTACTCAAGAGGCTGAGGTGGGAGGATCACTTGAACCCAAGAGATCGAGGCCAACTTGGGCAATATAGCAAGACGCCATCTAAAAAAATGATGATAATAATCACACATATATACAGTGTGCTTTTCATGTGCTTTAATCCAGATACCTTCCTAGAGTTCAGTGGCTTAAGAGAAGCATCATACATGTTTTTTAGGGGTTTTTTTTGTTGTTGTTGTTGTTGTTTTGAGATGGAGTCTTGCTATGTCGCCAGGCTGGAGTGTAGTGGCATGATCTCTGCTCACTGCAACTTCTACCTCCCGGGTTCAAGCGATTCTCCTGCCTCAACTTCCCAAGTAGCTGGGACTACAGACACACACCACCACGCCCAGATAATTTTTTTATATTTGTAGTAGAGATGGGATTTCACCTTGTTGGCCAGGATGGTCTCTATCTCTTTCACATCGTGATCCGCCCGCCTTGGCCTCCCAAAGTGCTGGGATTACAGGCATGAGCCACTGTGCCCAGCCGCGTCGTACATCTTTTATTGTACATAATTGGTAGTACAAGTACTTGGCCTCTATTATTTAGCTCTTTGAGGCAGCTGTATAGTATTTAATATTATTAAATTGAGCCAAAATTCTTGAATTACAAAAGAGGAGAAGGACTTGTGTTAGGTGTATTAGACCAAATCACTTTGCCTGCTTGACCAGGTGTGGCAGTGTGGCTTGTTCACAATACTGCCAGCATACCACTGCATTTGTGGTATTGTCAGGCCAATGAGGTTAGTTGTTATTGCCACACCTCTTCATTGTAGGAATCTTCTGCCCCACTCTACACATGCAAGTCCTTGTAGCCAGAAGTAGTCTGGTATATGTTGGTGCAGAAATTGAATTCGGCTTCTAGGACAGTGATGAGATCTTCTGTCCTATTTCTGAGGCTTCATTGCTGTTTACTAGGCTAAGCTAGAAAAATAGGACTGAGTTTATTTACCACAGTATATCATGAACTAGTAATATTCACAACAAATACCCTGATTTGATCATTAGATGTTGTATATGTGTACCGAAATATCACTTGTACTCTGAAAATACAACTGTAGTATATCGATTTTTAAAATATTTTTAAAAAGCAATGTGGTATTTAGGTTGTATTCACATTATACAGACTTTGGTTTTTCATTTTAATGAAAACATCATAATGAAATAATATACTTTTTTTCATTGACACTAATTTTATGCTGTAGGCTTCCAGGACAGTGATGAGATCTTCTGTCCTATTTCTGAGGCTTCATTGCTGTTTACTAGGCTAAGCCAGAAAAATAGGACTGAGTTTATTTACCAGAGTATATCATGAACCAGTAATATTCACAACAAATACCCTGATTTGATCATTACATGTTGTATACGTGTACCGAAATATCACTTGTACTCTGAAAATACATACAACTATAGTATATCAATTTTAAAAATGTTTTTAAAAAGCAATGTGGTATTTAGGTTGGTATTCACATTATACAGATTTTGGTTTTTCATTTTAATGAAAACATCATAATGAAATAATACACTTTTTTTTCATTGACACTAATTTTATGCTGTAGGCTTCCAGGACAGTGATGAGATCTGTCCTATTTCTGAGGCTTCATTGCTGTTTACTAGGCTAAGCCAGAAAAATAGGACTGAGTTTATTTACCAAAGTATATCATGAACCAGTAATATTCACAACAAATACCCTGATTTGATCATTACATGTTGTATACATGTACCAAAATATCACTTGTACTCTGAAAATACATACAACTATAGTATATCAATTTTAAAAATGTTTTTAAAAAGCAATGTGGTAATTAGGTTGGTATTCACATTATACAGATTTTGGTTTTTTGTTTTAATGAAAACATCATAATGAAATAATGTACTTTTTTTTTCATTAACACTAATTTTATACTGTAGATTATTTTAGCAGGGCCTAATATAGGCTACCTTACATTTTTCACACTTTCTAAACTTAGCTTTGTTTCCTAGATCCTAGAAGACAGTATGATATTTTCTCTGGCCAGTTGCATAATAACTGCAAAATGTAAGTATAAATTGATTTCTTTTTCAGATGAATTACTAAAATACAGGCTGAGCACAGTGGCTCACACCTGTAATCCCAACACTTTGGGAGGCTGAGGTGAAAGATTGCTTGAGGCCAGGAGTTGGAGGCCAGCCCAGAAAAGAGAGACCCTCTCTCTACAAAAAAAATAAGTTAACTGAGCATGATGGCCCATGCCTGCTACTCAAGAGGCTGAATCATGAGGATGGAGGCGACAGTGAACTGATTGTGCACTCCAGCCTGAACAACAGAGTGAGACCCTGTCTCAAAAAAAACAAACAAGGCCAGGCATGGCAACTCACACCTGTAATCCCAACACTTTGGGAGGCCAGGATAAGAGGATCACTTCAGCCCAGGAGTTCGAGACTAGTCTGGGCAACATAGTGAGACCTCGTCTCTGCTAAAAATAACCGTTAGCTGGGTGTGGTGGCACATGCCTGTGGTTCCAGCCACTCGGGAAGCTGAGGCAGGATGATCACTTGAGCCCAAGAGGTTGAAGCTGCAGTGAGTGATGATCGCACTATTGCATTCCAGCCTGGGCAACAGAGCAAGACTGTCTCAAAACAAACAAAAATAAAACACTGTTTAGAGGACTTCTTTAAAATTTTTCCCTCTTTTTCAGTCTTGTTTTAAAGGGCTGACTCACATAGGTGCTTTTTTTCTTAACCCCAAGTGCTTAAAGTCACCTCTGAAAATTGCCATAAATTTCTTGACACATTTTATGGATTGTGAATTCTAGTTAGTGCCTTTAAAATGAAAACTGCTGTTGACACCTTTCCAACCAGAACAGTGAGCTTTTCATTTCCTGCTGCTGCTTTCCACTTTGACTCCAAGCTAGCCTGCTATTATTAAGGTCTACCAACAAGAGTATATAGGCCACAGAAATCACGATTTAAAAGAACTCCTCTCATTGGAATTGAAGGTGATTTCTATGTAAAATTGTAAAATATTTGATATGTTTCTAAGTTTCCTCACTTGGTTTTTAGATTGGTAGAGTACCATTTATTTATACAATATTTATAAAAATACTTCTGTAGGCATAAAAATATACTAAGATAAAAATACTTAAAGAAAGTATTAGGGGGCCAGGCAAGGTGGCTCACAGCCATAATGCCAGCACTCTGGGAGGCCGAGATGGATGAATCACTGGAGCCCAGAAATTTGGGACCAGCCTGGGCAACACAGCGGAACCCTATCTCTATAAAAAAATTCAAAAATTAGCCAGGCCTGGTGGCACACACCTGTAATCCCAGTTATGTAAGGAAGGCTAAGGTGGGAGGATCACTTAAGCCCAGGAGGTTGAGGTTGCAGTGAGCCGTGATCACACCACTGGACTGCAGCCTGGGTGACAGAATGAGACCCTGTCAAAAAACAAAAGGAGGCCAGGCATGGTGACTCATGCCTGTAATCCCAGAACTTTGAGAGGCTGAGGTGGGCGGATCACAACATCAGGAGTTCGAGACCAGCCTGACCAACATGTTGAAACCCCATCTCTACTAAAAATACAAAAAGTAGCCGGGTATGGTGGCTTGTGCCTGTAATCTCAGCTACTCAGGAGGCTGAGGCAAGAGAATCACTTGAACCCTGGAGGGAGAGGTTGCAGTGAGCTGAGATCACACCACTGCACTCCAGCCTGGGTGACAGAGCTATGCTCTGTCTCAAAAAAAAAAAAAAAAAAAAAAACCCAAAAAACAAAAGGAAGTATTAGGACATGAATTTAAATTTTAGAAAATTTATGTTCACTTGAAGGATTTCATTTATATCCCTTAATGTTTAAGGAAACTTTCTTTAAAATGATACAAATGTAAACTTCCCATAAAGTTTTCTTCTTTGGCATACAGAAATGTCCAGATACTATAGATGATTAAATTGAATTTAGGTAAGCATATGTCAAAAATAATGTATTCAACCTTTTTCTTTTTTTTTTTTTTTAGACGGAGTTTCACTCTTGTCACCCAGGCTGGAGTGCAATTGCGCTATCTCAGGTCACTGCAACCTCCACCTCCTCGATTCAATAGATTCTCCTGCCTTAGCCCCCTGAGTAGGTGGGATTACAGGCGCCCACAACTATGCTTGGCTAATTTTCATATTTTAAGTAGAGACCATGTTGGCCAAGCTGGTCTTGAACTGACCTCAGGTGCTCTGCCCGTCTCGGCCTCCCAGGGTGTTAGGATTACAGGCGTGAGCCACCACATCCTGTCTTATTCAACTTTTTTTAAAAAATGCCTACTTGTTTGGTCCAGTGGTGCACATTTGTCCCAGCTACGTTGGAGGCTGAGGTGGTAGGATTGTGTGAGCCCCAGGAGTTCGCCTAACTTGGGCAATAAAACAAGACCCCAGCTTAAAAAAAATTAATATAAAGATAGATTTAAAATCCTTGTTTTTAAAACGTATTACATTAAAAATAAATATGTCTTTGCTAAAGACCTTTAAAAATCTAAATCACTTGTGCTCTGGACACCAAGAAAAGTGACTATTTCCAAGGTTGAATTAATATGTTAATCTTATTTTCAGTTTTTAGGGAGATTTTAGGAGAATTGCTATGTATTTGGATGTAGGTTGGTGGTTTTTTAAGGCTCCTCTGAAGTTTTTGAGAGTAGATAAACAAGAAACCTTAATAAGTTCTTACTCCTTACTCTGCCCCTTATTAGCCTTGGGCAAGATTCTTATCTCTCCATTTTCCTCCTTTTCTAAAATACGAGTTTAGCTCCAGATGACCTCCAAGTTATCTCTGAGCTATGAAATTGTGTCTGATTCAGTATTGCATTTAAAGCACATTAAGTGGCTTAAAATCACATTTTAAAGCTATTTTCAGCCATCGTTGTGACAGGCTGGGCAACGTAGTGGGACTTGATCTCTACCAAAAAAAAAAAATTGTAATTAGCTGTGCGTGGTGGCATGTTCCTGTAGTCCCAGCTACTTGGGAAGCTTGAGGTGGGATCACTTTAGCCAGGAGATCAAGGCCTCAAGTGAGCCGCGATCACTGCCACTGCACTCCAGCCTAGGTGACAGAGTGTGACCCTATCTAAAAAAAAAAACCCCACAAACCAAAAGTCAATGTGAGATTTTTTTTTTTTTTTTTTTTTGAGGCGGAGTCTCGCTCTGTAGCCCAGGCTAGAATGCAGTGGTGTAATCTCGGCTCACTGCAACATCTGCCCTCCAGTGCAAGCGAGTCTCCTGCCGCAGCCTCTAAGTAGCGTGGACTCACTCAGGCTGCCCACCACACACCCAGCATATTTTGTATGTTTTAGTAGAGATGCGGTTATCACTCACCAGTGGCGCAGGATGGTCTGTTCTCTTGAGGCCTCCAGCGACTGCCCCGCCTTGGCCTCCCACAAATGCTGGAGATTACAGGCATCAGCCACCGCCGCCTCGCGCCCCTGCTTATAGTTAATTTTTAAGGAAAATATAGCAGAGCAGAGTACATGAATGAGACGCGACTGCTATGCAAGATCGGTGGGGAATCCTTCAGATGTATATTACTCTAGGTTTGTAAAATTGGCCTGACACACATAGTACACTGCCACACGTTGTTCACCGCCATCACTTGTAAAGAAATAGAAATGTCTATAGTTCGCAGAGCTGTGCGCCGGTGCGCTCAAGCCCTGTAATTCCCAGCCACTTTGGAGGCCGAAACGGCAGAGCACGACGTCAAGAGATCGAGGACCAGCCTGCTAACACGGTGAAGCCCCCATCTCTACTAAAGAATACAAAAATTAGTCCGCGGCGATTGGGCGGGCGCTGCTAGTCCAGACTACTTGGAGAGCCTGAGGCAGGAGAAATGCGCCCTGAACTCGGGAGCGCGAGCTGCGAGTGAAAAAAAAAAAGAAAAAAAAAAAAAAAAAAAAAAAAAAAACCTGCAGATCCGGCCACTGCACAGTTCCCAGCGCTGGGCCCGACAGAGCCGAGACTCCCTGTCTCAAAAAAAAAAAAAAAAAAAAGAAGATTCTATAGTTCACTCAGAAGCCGTAATGATGAAGAGGCATATGTAGGGAAAAGTTAAGGACAGGCAGTCACTCATGTTTTTTGTGAACTCTAGATATAAAAAAACTAATCAGAGTAATTGAATACCAGGTAACTACTGATTTTAATGATAACAATATGGGTAATAAGGTGTATCAGGAAAACTTTTTTTATAAATTAACTTTGAGATTAAGTTAACCCTTAGCTCAGGAAAGAGATCATTGGTAAGTGAAGTACAAGTTACTAGAAGGATATTAAGAAGTATTTGACACAGGAACAATAGAGCTACAGATGGTGTCACCTCAAACATATTCTAGGGAAAGAGGTAGTATATATGTTCAGAAGGTTCCTTTCTTTTAATAGTTATAATCCCAGTGTATTACTACAGAAATTATAATTACTCTTTTTCCTCTGTTTTTTTTCTCAACATGTAATTTCTTTACATTTTCATTTCTTCTGGTTTTTTCTCAACATGTAATTTCTTTACATTTTCATTTCCTCAATGAATATAATCCATAAACAAGTTTAAGCTAAAGTAAGCCATGAGCCATTCATCTTCCCATTTGTTAATTGAGATAAATGTGATATTCTATTTGTTAAAAGTACAGATGTTTGGACATTACCATAAACCTACCGAACCAGAATTTGTGAATGTGAGGTTATAGCATCAGCCATCTCCCAGGTGGTTTTTGAGAACCACTGTTTTTTTGTTGTTGTTGTTTGTTTGTTTGTTTGAGACAGGGTCTCACTTGGTTTCCCAGGGTGGAGTGCAGTGGCATGATCACAGCTCACTGCAGCCTCAACCCCCTGGGCTCCAGCAATCATCCCATCTCAGCCTCCCAAGTAGCTGGGACTACAGGCACACACCACCACACCCAGCTGATTTTTGAGTTTTTTGTAGAGATGGGGTTTTGCCATGTTGCCCAGACTAGTCTTGAACTCCTGAGCCCAAGCAATCCCCCAGCTTCAGATCCCCTCCCAAAGTGATCCCCTCTGCGCAATCCCTCCCAAAGTGCTGGGATTACAGGTGTGAGCCACCATGTCTGGTTGAGAACTATTCTAAGCAATAACCAGTCACAAATTTTGAGCCAGTGTATTTACCATCACAGGTAAATATGTTAGAATATTGATTTATTGATAAATCTGCTAGCTTGATTTGTCTGAATCATTTCATTAGTGCTCCTAAGTGAACTGATAAATCAACTTAATAAGGTTGAGTGCATCCGATAATCAATTGCAATAACCAATATTGAGCACTCCTACAGATATGAAATTTATTTATTATCATAACTATTTTACCTAAGGTAAAATTAATTGGCTCCGGTTACTTACCAGTTTTAAGAAAGAAGGCATCCAGATTGCACTATGTCTGTTGGAGGGCAATCCATAAATATTGATGTTCCATTCAGTGAAATACAAACCCTGTGAATAATTTTACTTTTTGGTACCACTTATGTTATCTTCTATATCATAGGAGAAAAAAAGCAAATATAAAAACACCACTCTAAATAATTAGTTTTTTTCTTATTCTATACCCAAGCCACGAGTTAGCGATTTTCATTGTTATTCATATAATGTTTCACCTAGTGTGTACCTGGGCAATCTGTTTTTTAACCACCTCTGAAGAAGTTCAAAAAAAATTATATGAAGAGATAAACCAAGTTTTTGGAAATGGTCCTATTACTCCAGAGAAAATTGAGCAGCTCAGGTAAGGACACAATAAAAATAGGAGATTATTAAAAGGTAAATTTGAACTGGTTTATCTAATTTAAAGCTATTGTTGCTATTTAGGAAAGCTATATATTTTTATAGGACTTCAAGTATTTATACGTAGATTTTATTAGGTAAATGAATCTGCTTTTTAAAATCATAAGGTTGTGTGGGAAATGTTTAACTTAGCCTGTTAAATAGTACTAGTGAAGTCAAGCAAGTATGACACTCATACTTTGTTGATGGTAATAAAAAAAAGTACAGCAACATTAGATAATAATTTAGTAGGCTTGACCAGATGTGGTGGCTTACACCTGTAATCCCAGCACTTTGGGAGGCCAAGGCAGGCGGATCACTTAAGCCCAGTAGTTCAAGACCAGCTTGGGCAACACGGCAAAAACCCATCTGTACTAAAAATACAAAATGTCAGCCAGGTGTGCTGGGACACGCCTGTAGTCCAAGCTACTCAAGAGGCTTAGGTGGGAGGATCGCCTGAGCTCCGGAGGTTGAGGCTACAGTGATTGCATCACTGCACTCCAGCCTGGGTTACAGAGCGAGACCCTGTCTCAAAAGAAAAGAAAACAATATAGTAGGCTCTTAAAAAGTTCAACATACACTTATATGACCCAGCAATTCCACTCTTTGGAATTTCATTCCAAGATAAATGAAAACATGACTACACAAAGACCTGTTTGCATATATTCATAGCAGTATTATTCAAAATAGCCCAAAATTGGAAGTAGTTCAAATGTCCAACTGGTAAATAGATAAACAAATTGCGGTATTACCATACCATAGAATACTACCAAGTAATAAAAAGGAACACCATATTAATACACACAACAACACAGATAAATCTTAGTGATTTAAGTGAAAGAGTGAAACATAAAATACGGCTACTGTATGATTTCATTTGTGTGAAATTCTAGAAAAGGCAAATTATGGTAATAAAAAGCATTCTGTTGGGGGTTAGGAATGGGGACAGGATCAACTACAAAGGGGCATGAAGAAAATGAAACTGTCAGCCGGGCGCAGTGGCTCACGTCTATAATCCCAGCACTTTGGGAGGCCTAGGAGGGTGGATCACAAGTCAGGAGATTGAGACCATCCTGGCTAACATGGTGGAACCCCGTCCCTACTAAAAATACAAAACATTAGCCGGGCACGGTGGCGGGCGCCTGTGGTCCCAGCTACTCGGGAGGCTGAGGCCGAAGAATGGCGTGAACCCAGGAGGCGGAGCTTGCAGTGAGCCGAGATCGCGCCACTGCACTGCAGCCTGGGCGAAAGAGCGAGACTACTTCTCAAAAAAAAAAAAAGAAAGAAAATGAAACTGTCTTATATATTACCTGTGATTGTAGTTACACAATTGTATACAATTACTAAAATTCAAACTGTACAGGTAAAATGGGTTAATTTTATTGCATATAACCATACCTTAATTAATTTTTGTTTTAAATTGCAACTGTGACTGCTTTGGGGTTAGAAGTCTGAGACTGGGTAGCAAGCAACCCTACCTTGGAGCATAAAATCAACTATAGAAAAGATAGAGTGGCTGGGCACAGTGGCCCACACCTGTAATCCCACCAATTTGGGAGGCGAAGGTGAGAGGCTCACCAGAGCCCAAGAGTGCAAGACTAGCCAGAGCAACCTGGCAAAACCTCATCTCTAAAAAAAAAGATACAAAAAATTAGCTAGGGATGGTGGTGCATGCCTATAGTCCCAGCTACTCAGGAGGCTGATATAGGAGAATCACCTGAGCCCAGGAAGTCCAGGCTGCAGTGAGCCATGATCACACCACTACACTCCATCCTGGTAACAGTGAGACCCTCTCTCAAAAAAAGAAAAAAAAGAAAACAAGATAACCACTGGAAAGAACTGGGAGGCTTTTAAATGTTGGAAGTTTTATTTATTACATTGAATGTAACTACTTTTTTAAAAGTAATACTAGTTGCCTTTTGAAGTTTTTATCATATAGAAGTGTATGAAGTCGAAGGTGAAGTTCCTTTGTAAATGTGTGCCCGTAAGCCGGTAACAATTGGGCTGGGTGCAGTGACTCATGCTTATAATCCCAGCAATTTGGGAGGCTGAGGCTGGAGGATTGCTTGAGCCCAGGAGTTTGAGACCATTCAGGGCAACATAGAGGGAGCCTGTCTCTACAAAATATTTAAAAATTAGACAGACATAAAGGTGTGTACCTGTGGTTACAACTACTAGGGAGGCTGAGGTGAGAGGATCGCTTGAGCTTCGGAGCTTGAGGCTGCAGCATGATAGAGTGTCACTGCACTCCAGTCTGGGCAACAGATCAAGAACCTGTCTCTTAAAAATAAATAAGGAAATAAATAATTTTTTAAAGTTTAAACTCTCTAATATAGCTCACGAAGCATTTCAAAAGCTGGGCCTTGTGTACTCACCTTATCCTCACTTGTGCCTCTTCATAGCTTTCAGTTTAGCTCTACTCAAAGTCTTTTGCTTCTTACCTCCTGTCCTGGCTTTTGCACAAACTGTTCCTCTGTATAGATTCTCTTTTTGTCTCTCCTTTAGTTAAGTCCAGGTGTTGGGTTTTGGTTTTGGGGTGGGGTTTTTTTTTTATTGTGGGTGGTTTGAGTGTTTTTTTTTCTTTTTTATGTTGTTGTTTTGCAGATTTCAGCCTGTGTTTATTTCTCTCTTTCTCTCTCTCTCCTTTTTTTTTTTTTTTTTTGAGATGCAGTGTCTCTCTGTCACCCAGGCAGGTTTGCAGTGGCGCAATTTTAGCTCACTGCACCCTCCACCTCCTGGGTTGAAACGATTCTCATGCCGCAGCCTTCCAAGTAGTTGGAATTACAGGCGTGCACTACCACACCTAGCTAATTTTTGTATTTTTAGTAGACACGGGGTTTTACCATGTTGGCCAGGCTAGTCTCGAACTCCTGGCCTCAAGTGATCCACCCGCCTCTGGCTCCCAAAATGCTGGGATTACAGATGTGAGCCACTGCTCCCGGCCCGGCCTGTGTTTATTTCTCTACAAAATCCTTTACCTAGAGTAGCTGTTCCTGCCTTATATTCCAGTAATACCCTGAACTTCCTTTGTCATAACATGCGCTATGCTTGTTTAATTGTTCATCCTTTATGTCCTATCCACTCTGCCTCCCCACTGCCAACTAGAATCTGAACCCCTTTGATGGTGTATCTCTTGTTTATTGTTGTAGCTCAGTATCTAGCACAGTGCTTCACATGTAGCAGGTATGCAATAAATATTTGTACAGAGGAGAGGAAGGAAGAATGTTTCCCGTTTTGATTTTGTTGTTTTTGATGTTACAAACAATTAACACTTCTGTGCTTACATCTTTGCTAATATTTTCAAATATTTCTGTATAATAACGTCCTAGAAGTGAGCTTCTAGTTGAAGGATGTATGCAGTAGGTCAGTGGTTAAGATTTGAATCCTGTCAACACAACTTACCTGCTATGTGATCTTAAATAACTGCCTCTGATTTTAATCTGTAAAATTAGAATAATAATAGCACCCATGGGTTTCTTGTAAGGATTCGGTAAGATCCTGTATATAAAGTATTTAAGTGAACTAACTCATAGCAAAATTGGAATACATTTTAGTTTTTATTCTTCTCATTGTGATGTACACTTGAGGTGTACCACTTTATACTTCCACCAATTGGATATGAGAATGTCTTTTTCTCCATCTTTTTCTAGTAATATCTGCTGTCATTCTTTTTCATCTTTGTCAATCTGGCAAGGTAAAAAAAAAAAAAAAAAACGCTATGATTGGCAGTCTTTAAGTTGTTAATTAAGTTGAGTATCATTTCATGTCTTCAGGCCATTTGTATGTTTTTGTGAATTGCTTTTTGTATTCTCTGTCCCTGTTTCTATGGGGTTGTTGGATTTTTTAATTACTTTTAAAGAGGTTTTATACATTAAGGATATCTTTACTGAAAATATTTTTCCTAGTTATCTTTAGAAGTATGTAAACAAAATGTTTCTCTAGTTAGGTTATTTGTATTATTCTTTATAATTTTCTGTCAGCTTCATGCTAAAAATAAACTTTAAAAAAATTATAGAAACATTTTGAGTTTTCTTCTGGTACTTTTAAAAGTGTTTTTATTTGTTGAAATCTTTATCTACCTAGAGTTATATGCAGATTAATAACAAATCTTATAAAAATGTATTTATTTTAAAATTTATAAAATTTTTAATAAGTTTTTATATACTTCTAATATATAACATATCTTTAAGCAGATAAGAATTATGATGGGACTATTTCAAGTTAGGAATGTTTGAGCAGTTGTTGAAGAACGTTTTTTAAATGTATGTACATTTCTAACTGCCTCCTAAAATAAACATCTTCAAAAAAAATTTTTTCAAAACAGATATTGTCAGCATGTGCTTTGTGAAACTGTTCGAACTGCCAAACTGACTCCAGTTTCTGCCCAGCTTCAAGATATTGAAGGAAAAATTGACCAATTCATTATTCCTAGAGAGGTAGAAAATATTTAATATGTTTAATTCATTCAACTATTCTCAACTCTTTTGGGGTGTGTGTGTATATATATATATTTTAGATGGAGTTTCACTCTTGTCACCCAGGCTGGAGTGCAATGGTGCAATCTTGGCTCACTGCAACCTCCACCTCCCAGGTTCAAGGGATTCTCCTGTCTCAGCCTCCCTAGTAGTGGGGATTACAGGCGCCCGCACCATGCCCAGCTAATTTTTGTATTTTTAGTAGAGAAGGGGTTTGGCATGTTGGCCAAGCTGGTCTTGAACTCCTGACTCAGGTGATCTGCCAACCTTGGCCTCCCACAGTGCTGGGATTATATGCATGAGCCACTGCACCCCGCCTGGTGTGTATTTTAAATTTGTTTAAAGTGGCAAATAAATGCTACCCGTTATTAAATAAAAGACACAATTATTTTAGTTACAAAATAATATGTGCTTGTTTTAAAGTTCAAACAACATAAAAGTCTTTCTTCCCAAAAGGTACTACTGTTAGCAGTTTCGTATGTATTTCTATAGACCTATTTCTGTGTATATGTTTATAGAAACACACATATACATATGTATTAAACAGAATTTATATGTGAAAAGTTACTCTTCCTATAATGTTCTTTAATTTTCTTCTTAATTGAGTGTATTATGGCTATTAGTACACCTAGCACTTGATACAGATTCGACTCATTATTAATGGCTGCATAATATTCCATAGTGTGACTGTACCATAATTTATGTTTTAATTTGATTTTTTGAGACAGAATATCACTGTGTCACCCAGCCTAGAGTGCAGTGGTGCAATCTTGGCTCACTGCAACCTCCGCCTCCCAAGTTCAAGTGATTCTCCTGCCTCAGCCTCCTGCGTAGCTGGGATTACAGGCTTGCACTACAAGGCCTGGCTAATTTTTGTATTTTTAGTAGAGATGGGGTTTCACCATGTTGGCCAGGCTGGTCTCAAACTCCTGGCCTCAAGTGATCCACCTGCCTCCACCTCTCAACGTGCTGGGATAACAGGCATGAGCCACCATGCCCGTCCAGCATGATTTATTTAAGCAGCCCCCGCTAATGGAAATTATGATTGACATTTTTTTTTATTATATACTGGTACAGGTGTTGAGTAGTCTTAGACATGGAGTTTTTGTGTGAAAGTCCATGTGTATGTTCAGTTATTATTATTTTTAGACAGGGTCTTGCTCTTTCACCTAGGCTGGAGTACAGTGGTGCTATTGCAGCCTTGACCTTCGAGGCTTAAGTGATCCTCCCACCTCAGCTTCCCAAGTAGCTGGACTAAATTTTTTTTGTTTTTTATAAAGACGGAGTCTCACTATGTTGCCCAGGCTAATATCGAACTCCTAGGCTCAAGTGATCCTCCTGCCTCAGCCTCCCAAAGTGGTGAGATTATAGGCATTAGCCGCTACACTGGGCCATGTGTATGTTAATTTTAAAATGTTCTCTGAAAGCCATTTTATACTTTTAGCAACAATGTATGAGAATGTTTTTTCTTTCCAAATCCTCACCACCTCTGAATTTGAGTCTTATGTATATTTTATGAATCTTGCTTTTCTCTGATCATTGGAGAAATTGAACAAATTTTCATACATATATTAACAGTTTGTATTTTTCTTTTGTGAATTCTGGTCTTTATAACTTTCATTGATTTTTCTAGTGAGCTTATATATATTTTTGTATACTATACAAACTGTCAGTTATATAGCAAATAACTTACTGTTGCTTACATTCTTTTTTTATTGTTTTTTAACTGGATGTAGATTTTAAATTTTCATATAGTTAAGTCTGTTATTCCTTTTTGGTTTCTAGATTTTGTGACATGCTTAGGGAGGCCTTCCTCATTGTAAGATTACCAAAATAATCACTTGTGGTTTCTTCCATTATTATTTTTTTAAATTTTATTTATTTATTTATTTTTTGAGATGGAGTCTCACTCTGTCTCCCAGGCTGGAGTGCAGTGGCGCAATCTGGGCTCACTGCAAGCTCTGCCTCCCAGGTTCACACCATTCCCCTGCCTCAGCCTCCCGAGTAGTAGCTGGGACTGCAGGTGCCCACCACCATGCCTGGCTACTTTTTTGTATTTTTAGCAGAGATGGGGTTTCACCGTGTGAGCCAGGATGGTCTCGATCTCCTGACCTCGTGATCCACCCGCCTCAGCCTCACAAAGTGCTGGGATTACAGGTGTGAGCCACCGCACCCGGCCGATTTCTTCCATTATTTTAAATTATTATTTCGTATTCACTATCTATATTAAAAGAAGTTTGGAATAAGTTGACTTTCTAGGAGTCATTTTACCTCTGTTAGTCCTTGACTAATTGGATTTTTTTTTCCCACAGACCCTCGTCCTTTATGCCCTTGGTGTGGTACTTCAGGATCCTAATACTTGGCCATCTCCACACAAGTATGAAATATTTGTCATTGTCTTTGTGACTGTCAGTTTTTGGGTTTGCACGTTTTGCATTCCTTTCCTAAGTTTTGAGGAGAAAATTCAGTATGTAGCAATGATACAACAAAAGAAAAACAGTGAATCCCCTTTTCTTCTCTTTCTTTTGAGACAGGGTCTCACTCTGTCACCCAGGCTGGAATGTAGTAGTGCAGTCACTTCTCACTGCAGCTTTGACCTCTCTGACTCAAGCCATCCTTCTGCGTCAGCCACCTAAGTAGCTAGGACCACAGGCGTGCGCCACCACACCTGGTGAATTTTCATACTTTTTGTAGAGATGGGTTTCACCATGTTGCCCGGGCTGGTCTTGAATTCCTGAGCTCAAGCCATCCTCCCTCCTCTGCCTCCCAAAGTGGTGGGATTACAGGCATGAACCACCAAGCCTGAACTGCATCACCATTATCTTCTGTTCACTGCTTTTTCTCTTATGTGAATCTGCTATTTGCTACTCTTTGTCTCTTTTATTACCACTTTTATAGTAAGTGAAAAGTAATTAGCATCTGTTTTAAGAAAATGAAAGCAGGCCAGGCACCGTGGCTCACGCCTGTAATCTCAGCACTTTGGGAGGCCGAGGCAGGCAGATCACGAGGTCGTGAGTTCAAGACCAGCCTGGCTAACATGGCGAAACCCCGTCTCTACTAAAAATACAAAAATTAGCCAGGTGTGGTGGCACATGCCTGTAATGTAATGCCAGCTACTCAGGAGGCTGAGGCAGGAGAATCACTTGAACCTGGAAGGCAGAGGTTGCAGTGAGCCAAGATTGTGCCATTGCATTCCAGCCTGGGCAACAAGAGCAAGACGCAAGACTCCATCTCAAAAAAAAAAAAAAAAAGCAAAATTTCTTTTTTTTTATTATTATTATTATTTTTTTTTTTTTTTTTTTTTTTTGAGATGGAATCTCACTCTGTCACCCAGGCTGGATTGCGGTGGTGCAATCTAGTGTCACTGCAAGCTCCGCCTCCCAGGTTCAAACAATTCTCCTGCCTCAGCCTCCTAAGTACTTGGGACTACAGGCGCCCGCCACCATGCCCGGCTAATATTTTTGTAGTTTTAGTAGAGACGGGGTTTCATCATGTTAGCCAGGATGGCCTCGATCTCCTGACCTCGTGATCTGCCCACTTCAGCCTCCCAAAGTGCTAGGATTACAGGCGTGAGCCACTGTGCCTGGCCTTTTTTGTGTTCCAGTGCGTTTTTCTATTCTTTATTTTTATTGCTTCTCTTTTTGCTTTTTTTTAAATTTATTTTTTATTTCAATAGGCTTTTGGGGAACAGGTGGTATTTGGTTACATGAATAAGTTATTTGGTAGTGATTTCTGAGATTTTGGTGCACCCGTCACCCAAGCAGTATACACTGTACCCAATGTGTAGTCTTTTATCCCTCATAACCTCACCCTTTCCCCCAAGTCCCTAAAGTCCATTATATCATTCTTATGCCTTTGCGTCCTCATACCTTAGCTCCCAAGAATTTCCCTTTTTTAAAAATTCAGAATTTAAGAATACTTGTTTTTGCGAGGAATTTTTTTGTTCTGTGGTACGTGGGTTGTTTTGTTTTTAATATATGCGTTTCTTCAACGACTTTACAGAGTAAAATTCTATACAACAAAAAATGTTTCTTAGGCCCTTCATTTCCCTTACTTTATTTTTTCTTCTGAGGCAGGATCTTGCTCTGTTGCCCAGGATGGAGTGCAGTGGTGTAAACACAGGCTCACTGCAGCCTCAACCTCCTGGGCTCAAGCAATGCTCCTACCTCACCCTCCAGAGTAACTGGAACTATAGGTATATACTATCCCGCCTGGCGAATTTTTTTTTTTAATTTATTTTTATTTTTATTTTTTTTGAGACAGAGTCTCGCTCTGTTGCCAGACTGGTCTTGCAATAAGCAAGACGCCATCTATGAAAAATAATGGGCTGGGCGCGGTAGCCTGTAATCCCAGCACTTTGGGAGGCTGAGGCGGGCAGATCACCTGAGGTCTGGAGTTCCAGACCAGCCTGACCAACATGGAGAAACCCCATCTCTACTAAAAATACAAAATTAGCCAGGCATGGTGGCTCATGCCTGTAATCCCAGCTACTTGGGAGGCTGAGGCAGGAGAGGTGGAGGTTGCGGTGAGCCAAGATCATGCCATTTCTCCCCAGCCTGGGCAGCAAGAATGAACCTCCATCTCAAAAAAATAAAAAATAAAAAATAATGATAATAATCACACATATATAGAGTATGTTTTTCATTCGCTTTAATCCAGATACCTCCTAGAATTCAGTGGCTTAAAAGAAGTGTCATACAGCTTTTTTTTTTTTTTTTTTTTTAGTTGGAATCTCAATCTGTTGCCAGGCTGGAATGCAGTGGCGCGATCTCAGCGCACTGCAACCTCTGCCTCCCAGGTTCAAGTGATTCTCCCGCCTCAGCCTCCCAAGTAGCTGAGACTACAGACATGCGCCACCACACCCAGCTAATTTTTGTATTTTTAGTAGAGACGAGGTTTCACCGTGTTGCCAGGATGGTCTCAATCTTTTGACCTCGTGATCCACCTGCCTCGGCTTCCCAAAGTGCTGGGATTACAGCCTTGAGCCACTGTGCCCAGCATTTTAAAAATTTTTAATAGAAATGAGGTCTCGCTATGTTGCCCAGGCCTGTCTCGAACTCCTGGGCTCAAGTGATCCACCTTGGAGTCCCAAAGTACTAGGATTATAGGTGTGAACCACTATGTCCAGCCTTTCTCACCTATTAATCTAGATGTAATATAATTGATAAATACAATTTTAAGGCTGGAGCCTCCAATTTTAAGACATAAATTTCAGTTGAAGGGGCAATATAAAATTTCTTACATATTGATAAGGTGGTCTCATGTAACAGGTCTTAAATGTATTTAAATATTCATTATATGATTTTCTATGATTTATCCTTACATTTCACAAAATAATATAAACTCGTGTAACTATCTTATACCTTGGTATTCTCGAGAAATATATTTTGCATCTATTATTTAGAAATTAAGTAGGCTGGGCGCCATGACTCGTGCCCATAATCCCAGCACTTTGGGAGGCCGAGGCAGGTGGATCATGAGGTCAAGAGATCGAGACCATCCTGGCAACATGGTGAAACCCTGTCTCTACTAAAAATACAAAAATTAGCTGCGCGTGATGGTGTGCGCCTGTAGTCCTAGCTACTTGGAAGTCTGAGACAGGAGAATCGCTTGAACCTGGGATGTGGTGGTTACAGTGAGCCGAGATTGTGCCACTGCACTCCAGCCTGGTGACAGAACGAGACTCCGTCTCTAAAAAAGAAAAAAAAAGAGAGAAATAATAAAGCACCAGTCGCAGTGGCTCACACACCTATAATCCCAGCACTTTGAGAGATCGAAGCAGGAGGATCACTTGAGCCTAGGAGTTCAAGACCAGCCTGGGCAACATAGGGAGACTGTACAAAAAACTGTTAAAAGTAGCTGGGCCTGGTGGCATGTGCTTATAGTCACAGCTACTCAGGAAGCTGAGGTAGAAGAATAGTTTAAGTCCAAGAGGTTGAGGCTGCAGTGAGCCTTGATTGCAGCGTTGCACTCCAGCCTCGGTGACAGAGCGAGACCCTGTCTCAGAAAAGAAAATATAGTAAGAAACAGTGAGAGACTAAATATATGTTAAATAATTTGAGAACTTAAAAATAAGTGACATTTAAATATAATGTAAGAGCACTTTCTATTTTCAGTCGATTTTTAACTTTATTACATACTTGTGTTCTTTCAGTGTCAACATGTAAAATGCCAGTGGAATTATATTGTGATTAACCTCAAATTTTCTTTTTAGGTTTGATCCAGATCGGTTTGATGATGAATTGGTAATGAAAACTTTTTCCTCACTTGGATTCTCAGGCACACGGGAGTGTCCAGAGTTGAGGTGAATAATAGAATGCCAGACTCTCTTCTTAGAATTTTGATGATCACTGTTGATGAGAATGGGCAATCTATATGATTAAAGTGTAATTTTATCATTATTATTATACTTTAAGTTCTGGGGTTCATGTGCAGAGCATGCAGGTTTAAAGTATACTTTTTAATCTTTAGTAACTAGTTGACTTTCTTCCTGACTAGGTTTGCATATATGGTGACCACAGTACTTCTTAGTGTATTGGTGAAGAGACTGCACCTACTTTCTGTGGAGGGACAAGTTATTGAAACAAAGTATGAACTGGTAACATCGTCAAGGGAAGAAGCTTGGATCACTGTCTCAAAGAGATATTAAAATTTTATGCATTTAAAATCATTGTTAAATTGATTGAGGAAAACAACCATTTAAAAAATCTGAGTTGAATCCTTTTATAAACCAGTAACACTTTGTAATATAAACACCTATTTGTACTTAATTTTGTAAATTTGGATTTTTATATATCATATTTTCTTCATTATACACATTTGACTTACTGCACAGTATATTGATCATTTTAATGGGAAACTTTAGATTTCTACTTTTTATTTTTGTTTTTTCACTTTCTTTTGCCATTATTTTTATATTCTTACTGTGGGGTCTAAAATCAGTGTTCTTGAAGAAAGAAATTATTTTGCAGAAGTTGGGGAATCACGTTTGTTGAATATGCATAAAATAGAAACATAGGCTGGGTGCAGTGGCTCACACCTGTAATCCCTGCACTTTGGGAGGCCAAGGCAGGTGGATCACCTGAGGTCCGGAGTTTGAGACCAGCCTGGCCAACATGATGAAACCCCGTCTCTACTAAAAATACAAAAAATTGGCTAAGAGTAGTGGCCCATGCCTGTAATCCCAGCACTTTGGGAGGCTGAGGCGGGTGGATCACCTGAGGTCAGGAGTTCGAGATCAACCTGGCCAACATGATGAAACCCATCTCTACTAAAAATACAAAAAATTGGCTAAGAGTAGTGGCCCATGCCTGTAATCCCAGCACTTTGGGAGGCCAAGACGGGCAGATCACCTGAGGTCAGGCATTCAAGACCAGCCTGGCCAATATGATGAAACCCTGTCTCTACCAAAAATACAAAAAAAAAAAAATTAGCCGGGTGTGGTGGTGCCCATTTGTAATCCCAGCTATTCAGGAGGCTGAGGCAGGATAATCACTTGGAACCCAGGAGGTGGAGGTTGCAGTGAGCCGAGATCGTGCCACTGCACTCCAGCCTGGGTGTCAAGAGTAAAACTCATTCTAAAAAAAAAAAAAGTTGGGGGAGCTATTTCAAGAATATATTAAGTAGGCCGGGCACAGTGGCTCATGCCTGTTATCCTAACACTTTGGGAAGCCAAGGTGGGTGGACCACGAGGTCAAGAGATTGAGACCATCCTGGTCAACATGGTGAAACCCCATCTCTACTAAAACTACAAAAAATTAGCTGGGCATGGTGGTGTGCGCCTGTAGTACCAGCTACTTGAGAGGCTGAGGCAGGAGAATTGCTTGCACCTGGGAGGCAGAGATTACAGTGAGCTGAGATCATGCCAGTGCACTCCAGCCTGGGCGACTGGGCCAAGACTCTGTCTCAAAAAAATACATATATATATTTTAAGTATTTTTCAAAATTACACTTTAGCACTTATAAATTTTATATATAATACTTTATTGATGGCATTGTATATTAGTCCAGCTTTTTTGGCTACACTATTTATGAAGGATTCTTTCTTTTTTTAAGACAGCCACCATAGGAAATATGCCAAGTACAGATAGTGAGGAAAGAAAGGAAGAAAAACGATAATTATCTGCAAGTGGGCTTATTTTTAACACTGCTAAATTTCATTTGTAATTTTACTTTCAAGAATGTACTCTGGTAGACTGAGGTGGGTGCATTGCTTGAGCCCAGGAGTTGGAGGCTTCAGTGAGCTGTGATCACAACACTCCACTCAGCCAAACCTGAGTGATAAAGTGAGATCCTATCTCTTTAAAAAAAAAAAAAAAACCCTTTGTTATTGAGTTATTTTATGTAATTTATTGGTAAATACCTAACATTTTAGACCTAGTCATTACCAGTTAACAGAATTTAATTGGATGCAGTCTTTATTCTTGAAAAACAAATTAATTTTTGGAATAACTTAAATTCTAAAACTTTGGCCGGTTGCGGTGGCTCATGCCTATAATCCCAGCACTTTGGGAGGCCAAGACGGGCAGATCACCTGAGGTCAGGCATTCAAGACCAGCCTGGCCAACATGGAGAAACCCCATCTCTACTAAAATTACAAAATTAGGCATGATGGCGTATGCCTGTAATCCCAGCTACTTGGGAGGCTGAGGCAGGAGAATTGCTTGAACTCGGGAGGTGGAGGTTGCGGTGAACCAAGATCGCGCCATTGCACTTCAGCCTGGGCAACAAGAGTGAAACTCCATCTCAAAAAAAAAAAAATTCTAAAACTTTAAGTGAAATTTATTATCCCTTCCCACTTATTTTCTGTGGTTTTGTGTGTATAGAGCATCTTCCTTTGTTACCCAAGTACCTTGAATGGGTTGGAAACTGGCAGTAGAAGATTAGAGTAGCCAATTGATATGTAAACCGAGTGTCAGATCAGATGAGATGAAAGAGGTGGAGTTTAAAGCAAGTGAGATATGATAAACAATGATGAAAGCAAAAATAGGGCAGTTGAACCAGAGTCAGCCAGTAGGCATAATTGTCAATAAATGAGGCAAGTGTAGAATAACTAATAATGATTGGAATCAAGGAAAAGAGAGCATGAAGGAATCAGCTCAATTAGTATGTTTTATCCATGGTTACATGACTAACAAAGGATTAAAAAGAAATTATTCACTAGATAATTTTTTAAATAAAAATACTGTTTATATTAACTAAGTTATTCATTTGCTGTCATTCACTTGACAAAAATATGTGTTCTTTGTACTTACCAAATGACTCAAATTTTGGCCACTTCAGTGTCACTGATGGCTTATAGAATGATTCTAGCAGGACCCAAGTTATTGAACTATCAAATGAGTTTTTAATTGATATTGAAGTAAGTAATTTAAGTTTTGTAGCTTTTGGGATTTTTAAAAACTACTTCACTGATTTTTATTCTTTTTGATAGTTCAGAAGTGTATTGTTAAAAAACAAGCATGGCCGGGCACAGTGGCTCACTCCTGTAATCCCAGCACTTTGGGAGGCCACGGCGGGCAGATCACCGGAGGTCAGGAGTTCAAGACTAGCCTGACCAACATGGAGAAACCCCATCTCTACCAAAAATACAAAATTAGCCGGGCATGGTGGAGCATGCCTGTAATCCCAGCTACTTGGGAGGCTGAAGCAGGAGAATCGCTTGAACCCAGTAGGCGGAGGTTGCAGTGAGCCAAGATAGCGCCATTGCACTCCAGCCTGGGCAACAAGAGCTATCAAATGAGTTTTTAATTGATATTGAAGTAAGTAATTTAAGTTTTGTAGCTTTTGGGATTTTTAAAAACTACTTCACTGATTTTTATTCTTTTTGATAGTTCAGAAGTGTATTGTTAAAAAACAAGCATGGCCGGGCACAGTGGCTCACTCCTGTAATCCCAGCACTTTGGGAGGCCACGGCGGGCAGATCACCGGAGGTCAGGAGTTCAAGACCAGCCTGACCAACATGGAGAAACCCCATCTCTACCAAAAATACAAAATTAGCCGGGCATGGTGGAGCATGCCTGTAATCCCAGCTACTTGGGAGGCTGAAGCAGGAGAATCGCTTGAACCCAGTAGGCGGAGGTTGCAGTGAGCCAAGATCGCGCCATTGCACTCCAGCCTGGGCAACAAGAGTGAAACTCTGTCCCCCAGAAAGAAAAAAAAATAAGCACATAACTTTTTTGTTTTTCTTTTGTTTTTCTTTTTTTTTGAGGCAGAGTCTTGCTTTGTTGCCCAGGCTGGAGTGCAGTAGCGTGATCACAGCTTACTATAGCCTCCACCTCCTGGGATCCAGCGATCTTCTCACCTCAGCCTCTAGAGTAGCTGGGACTACATGTGCAAGCCACCATGCCCAGCTGTTTGTTTGTTTTTGTTTTTTTGAGACAGTGTCTCCCCGCGTCACCCAGGCTTGTCTCAAACCCCTAGGCTCAAGTGATCCTCCCACCTGGGCCTCCCAAAGTGTTGAGATAGCAGGTATGAGCCACTGCACCTGGTCCAAAAAACATCTTTTTTATGAACCAAAGAGCTCTTTCAAACTTGTGCTAACAAAATTTAAGACAATATTAATTGTGTGCATGTGTTTGGGAAAAATCAAAAAACTTACATGATACTTATCTGTCTCACAAAAGTATAGTTCCATTTTTTTATATAAATAGATTCTATCTTATTTACAACCCCTATGTCAAAATTTGTTTCTTTTATCTTAAAATAGTTTGTATAAAAATCTTGACTGCTTTATTATGAAGTAATAATGTTTATTATAGAAAAATCTAGGAAAACACAAAAATGTCAAACTCAGTTAATAGTCTCACTATTTGAAGTTAACCACTGTTAAGATTCTGGGTTTTTTTGTTTGTTTGTTTGTTTGTTTGAGACTGAGTCTCGCTCTCTGTTGCCCATGCTGGAGTGCAGTGGCACCATCCTGGCTCACTGCAACCTCTGCTTCCCAGGTTCAAGTGATCCTTCTGCCTCAGCCTCCCAAGTAGCTGAGATTACAAGCATGTGCCACCACGCCTGGCTAATTTTTGTGTTTTTAGTGCAGATGAGGTTTCACCATGTTGGCCAGGCTGACCTTGAACTCCTAACCTCAAGTAGTCTGCCCACCTCAGCCTCCCAAAGTGCTGGGATTACAGGCGTGGGGCACCATGCTCAGCCCCACTGTTAAGATTCTAATGTAGGCCAGGCACAGTGACTCATGCCCGTAAGTCCAGCACTTTGGGATGCCGAGGAGGCCAGATTTCTTGAGCTTTTAGAAGTTTGAGACCAGCCTGGGCAACGTGATGAAACTTTGTCTCTATAAAAATATTTAAAAACTTAGCCAGCCTTGGTGGCACCACCTGTAGTCCCAACTGTTCAGGAGACTGAGGCGGGAAGATGGCTTGAGCTCAGGAGGTCAAGGCTACAGTGAGCCATGGTAGTGCCACTGCACTCCAGCCTGATTGACAGAGCAAGACCCTGTCTCAAAAAAAAAAAAAAAAAAAAAAAGATTCTAATATAGATACTCTTTTTATGCATATGTAGTTTATATATATTATACAAAAGATTTGCATTTAACATATTTGAACCAATAGTATTTTCTACAACCAGAACATTAGTATTCTTGTCATTCTGAATGTAGGCACAGATTTTTGTCATTCTTTCTTTATCTTTTTTGTGTGTGTGTGACAGAGTCTCAGTCTGTCACCAGGCTGGAGTGCAGTGGCGTGATCTCGGCTCACTGCAACCTATGCCACCCTGGTTCAAGCGATTTTCTTGCCTCAGCCTCTGAGTAACTGGGGT